AAGAGTGGTGCACTTCACTTGCAAGAGAGAAGCAACAACATATTTTATTGATACGAGACAGAGAGTTAACAAAGTTTGGTAAATGCAACGGTGATTTAACAAGATTCAATGGCAAGGTACACTTGATTATTTACTGCATAGACACGGGGTCAGAAAAAACTGTCAGGGAGACCCTCCCATTGAGTCGTGAGGTTCAGAGAGGACCCTCTTGTGTTCTAAACTCCTTCTCAGAGAGGAGTCTAGGTGCAGCTGGATCCAGACTTAGTCCCAGACTTGGTCAACGGTTCATGTCTAAAGGATTATATGTGGAGAGTCAATCCTTTATATCGCTTAGCTAAGATTACAAAGTTTCAGTGTGCTTACTGCCGATTCACCTACTGAGTATCTGATGCAATAAGGATTCTCTCAACCTTGAGGAGTAACCTTGAAAGGTGTTCCTACTCAAGGGGAGATCCTGGCATGCAGCCCGCTGCCATGCAGGACAGCTCCACAGGCTCTGGGCTGTCCATTATTTATGGAGTAAGATGACTAACTTATAGTCATATCTGCATACCAGCTGTATTTTGGTTGGCACATGCTCAAGTAGCCCTCAGCTGTTGAGCATGATTTAGAGCCCTTAGCTATCATGTCATTACCTGTCTCCCCAGAGTCCAACTTAAGCCACATGCAGCCATCACAACCGCCACTGGTGGCTACTGCTTAAGCAGAAGGAGTGGGGTGCACACCGTCACAGGGGGGTACACTTGGAAAAGTGCAGTTGAATCGAAAACAACCACCACAGAAGCACTACCTGGAGCAGGCCTCTGAGTACAGAGTTTAAAGAGAGCCATGTAATACTGCTGAAAACAGACCAAACTAAAATACCAAAGGAGTTAAAACAAGGTTTTAATCTAGAACACTTGCATCGACAAAAAAAAATTTCAAATAAATTGAAAGATACAACCTTGTTACCACCTCTGTACATCCAGGGGTTCCAATCACTGCACCCACTGCTCTGATACCTATGTATAACATAGCAGAAAAAGAAGCAAGCAACTTAGTTCTTCACCACAGGCTTTGGTGCTGAAGATCAGACCCTCCTATTACTGTTATTTTATATCCCGGTTGCGATCTGCTTGCCTTAAAAGGAACTGAAGCCCATCTGTATTAAATTAAAAACTCATTTCTATTTACAAGTCTAGTTTGAACCACAAACTAAATGCAACTGTTTTGAGAAAAAAATAAATCTAAGAGACTTATGAAAAAATACCTAAGTGGACAGTCTTGGATCTTAAACAGGAACTTAGGAGTTCTTTTATTTTTGCTACTGTTACTTGCTTGCTACTGGAAGTAGCTTGCTTCTAATGGCCAGTCTACCCTCATTAATCAAAATAAATGGAAAATTGCACTTATCAGCCTCAGGTAACAAAGCACTCCCATGGACTCCTCCTGCCTGTCCAATTCAAAGCAAGCACAGAACATTGCCACCTCTAATTTTACCTGCCTGTTCCTGCCTTCCCTGCCTTGTAGCCTTTCACTTTACAGGGATTCCTTGTAGGCAGTGAACAAATCATCCAAGAAAACCTGACAAAAGTAACTCTGTTGCCTTGACACAAGCAATCCACTCCTGAGGCTTGGCTCTGTTGGGTGAAAGGCACTGCAGCACTTGCAGCTTTTTTCAAATCATGACTGGAACAGGCTAGCTGCTGCTTGGTAGAATTTATGGTGTACAGTTCAAATAAAGAATTATTTTTCCTCTTTGCCCTTAGTCTTTCTATAGACCATCTCTCGAAAGCTTGCGAGGATCTTATTCTCTCGTTTCCTCCTCTCCTCCTGGTTGAAGGATGCCAGAGCTCTCTTCTCATCTGCGCTGTAAATCTGGTTCTCTTTACGCAGACGCACAGCTTCCATTCGGCGATGTCTGCGGAGGAGAATATTGTGTACATCAGCATGGGCAGAGGGTTGTAATCCCCGTCACAGCTTCCATGAATGTTTTGAGGGGCTTATAAAGATATCTACACTAGAGAATCCAAACTGCACACAAACCTTCCCAGGAAGGAGCATGGCAGAACAAGAAACTGATTTCTGGGGGTGTCAGCTCTTGGGCAGTCATCCAAAAGCCCCACCTACCCCCAGGGTGTCAGCTGCTGGCTCACCAAAATTTAAGTGAAATTCATGTTGGATTCATATAGAAAAAAGTGCAGCCAACCTCTCACACTTTGATTCGTCTCCTACTGAAGAGCCAGCACATCACCACTGCTGTCCAAACACATCACCTTTGAGCCACCTGACACAAGCATCTCCTCATTTGAAATACAAGATAATTAGAAGTATATTACCTGGAAAGAATTCTTGCTCTTGAGGAGAAAGCACCCTTAAAAAACTCACCCTCTATCTATAGCAATAGGGAGTTTAGTGTAGATTATTACAAGCACACCAAGCACCTTCCCTTCCGTGCTTTCAACTAGAGCTTGGAAGCAGTCTTCCAACAGGCCAACAGAAGAAGCAGCTCTTGAAAATTTAACTGAACCATTATCATCATCAAAACTATACCTGCTGCCACTCATGACATAACCAGAGCTCTCAAACGATGCAATCTCTTCACTGGTCAAGCCGATTTCACCTCTCCGGGGTATACGTTTTCCTGCTTTTACATACTCTGCCATTGCTGCACCTTCACCGGGCAAGAGGGCATGTCCATAGCTTTAAAAAAAAAAAAAAAGTGTTGATTTCAATCAGTCTCACATAGAGCAAGCCTGAGCTAAACATCCAGCTTCCCTGTTTTCTACTTGCTACTGCTGCATTTTTAAGCACTTTCTTACTCTTTCCCACATATTGGCCTGTTTCTTCCTTATGGCTAACACTACGACATCTTAAATTACCAGTTGAATTAAACAGCAATAAAGACACTATAAAGTCACAATAGTGCAGAGCATTAGAATAAAGGCATTTTACAATTGATTTCCTAGGAGTCAAAGCCAAAAAGCATAAACCAGATTTTTCTGCCTGAATTCAGGCCAGGGTAAAGGCCTAACACCACTAGCACTTCTGTCTGAGTTTCTGGCACTGAATTTCTCTCCAATGCATGCCATACTGTTATAACAGCCCTTTTGCACAGTAACCTTCAGGCTTAATTTACTTGGTTTGATCAAAGTACCATTAGAGCTGGCTACTCACTTCAAAGGCCTATCATCCTGCGATGCATGAGTTTTGGGAGCTTCTGGTCCAATCAAGCTATCAGCTTCTGTATTTTCTGCAACAGTCAAATAATGAGGAAGATTAATATTGTGCCCGTTGATCTCTGGTATCAGAAGAGTTACACAGGTCAGCAACATGTAACATGGAATTCACGAAAAGGACACCAAGAAGTTTCAATCCAAGTTTAAAGTCAGGTGAACCTACTTGATCTCTCAATCCAGAGATCTTCCCCTTGAAATGTGTCATCATCAGAATCTTCACTACTTGAATCACTGGATTCCTTCCTGCTCTTCTTATTTTTCTTTTTCTTATACTTCTTCCTGAAGAAAGCCACAGACAGACATGCTATTTAACAAAATTTAAGATGAAAGAAAGTGCCTGGAATCATACTCAAGTAATGAGTTTCTCCAGGCAGCTTCCACCCGTGGGAAGACTGGCTGTCTGCATATAGATTGTTGCTGTTTCAGAGAAAATGCCTTATAGCAAAACAAAGACAATACATACACTGTTATGCCTTTCATATAGCCTTAGAAAGTGGCTCCCTACATTTGCAGCGAGTCCTCTATGCTGCATGTTTGTGTAGACTTAAAGAAAGTCCATCAAATTAAGATTATTTGACAGCATTTATAGCCCCAATTACAAGAGTGCTCAGCCTTCCCCACTACCTGCAAAGAAAGTGGTGCTGCCCTCTAGTCAAAAGCAGGTAGAATTACGCACAATAACCTGGTAACTCACTTTCTGGTCTTCTTCTTCTTCTTCTTGCTTTTCTTTTTATCTTCATCTGCAAAAAAGAAAGTATATATATTATCAAAAAGAGATGGGTTAGCTATAAGCAAGTAGTTTACTGCACTGTGAATAACTAACTGCCTCCACCAGAATGCCTTAGTACACAGCTGCTCAGACGTGATTTATTTAGGTACTAATACCAAGAAAGTATTAGTAGAAAACTACCTTCAGTATCGTTCGATATGAGACCATATCAAACATATCTCTGGCATGAGATGCCCAATGGATGCTAAATTCAGAAATCCTATTTCCAGAGGCCAGACCGCAAGCACTCAAGGAAAAGGCACTGCCAACCCAGCAAGATGGTGAAAGAAAAGAATATCGGACTAATGCTGCAGCTCTGTCATTTCAGAACACTGCAAGCGTGCAACAAAAGCCAGAAGCATTGCTTCAAGTTCAGAGGAGCAGGAGAGCTCTTGTGCCACACATATCAGCCGAAACTCTCTTTTCTTACCACTGGAGTTCTGCTCAGACTCTGACTCACTGTCGCTGTCCTCAGAATTTTTTCTGCGTTTTCTTTTGGATGTCTTCCGCTTTTTCTTCTTTCTTTTCTTCTTCTTTTTCTTTTTTTCCTCTAGAATGTTTTTAAAAGATAACATTAGAGAACAGAGATCATCTAGCTCCATATGTATTTCCCGATCTTCCCAAAGCAACACTCTCCTTTGAACTGGGGCCCACCACACTCAATTCCACCTCTCAAAGTCAGTGAATCTCTTGCAAGCAACGACAGCAGATTCTAGACTTCTGAAGCTACTCATTTTCAAAACAAGCTGTGTAAGCAAAACAAAATACCTTCTGAGCTGGAATCTGAAGAACTGCTCTTAGATTTTGCCTCTTCATCTTCTACTGGTGTATGCTCATCAGAACTGAATAAAAGAGTTTGCTATTTAAAATCTATTTTGTAGTATTCAAGATCAAAGATACACATATGACCAAACACATGCTTGCAGATTTTGAGTCAATACTTGCAACAGAGTAAACTATTAAACAGCTAATTTGCAGCATGGGAACTGCTTTCAGAACCACAACACAAAGGTCACCTGATCTACAATAAATTCTGTCTTGCATAATTGGTGTGTTGGAATTATTTGGGAGGAAAAAAAGAAAAGTAATAATCTCATTATGGTGATTCAGAAATGAACTGACACCACATGAATTGTGGCAAAGGGACTAGCGTAGAGGTAAGACATTTTTGTAAATTAAACTGACATATAACCAACATCATAAATGCGGGAAGGAAAGATGAAAGACTGTGCCTTACTCGGGGTCTGGAACCTTGGGCGACAGTCCCCAGACCTCAGGTGCCCCCAGTTCTCCAATTCTCTCTCTTTCATTGAGTCTCCTGCAACAGAACACACCTTCACCCAGCGTGCCATACCCAGCGCACACACGTTTTGAGCC